AAACTCGTGTAACATTTAATATATACTTTTCAAAAAATGTAAAGTTCATTTATCCGGTCTTAAATAAAAAGGTTCCTTGCTTCATGGTCTCTGATTTCTGTTTTACCGTTCTTAAAACTCAGGTTTACATTCCCCTCTCTTTTAGGGAAAAGCTTCCCAATTTAATTTGCGAAAAACTTTGAGTAAGCAGCTTCTATTACACATTTTCAAGCGTGCGGATTAGCCAAGCAGTTCTTATTTCTAGTCTCCTGCTCAATCGCGAGGACGCGCTTTACGCGCTCGCACGACTACTCCGGCGCGGTGCTTGTAGTCCAGAGGAAAACAGAAGTGGTGTTCCGTTTGTTGTGTCTTTAATATTGAACTGTACTCTGAAAAGCATTCATCGTTCCGTCAGGAGCGGGCTCTCTTGCTCTTTTTGTAAACTTTCGCCCGATCTGAGTATCACGTCGCCTGAAAATATCGCATCGTCTCGACTAGCTGCCCTTAAGACTCCGAGAATGGTTAACTCCCAAATTTAAATAGTTAGCGCTTAGTTGGTCGTCTACCTTCAAACTAAACCAAACGCGCAGCATAGTGGTAGGAAACGTCCTTCGTCCGTCGGGTACTGAAGAAACAAGACGAGGGACTTTTCTTAAGGTCTAAGTCTTGAATATTATATGTATACGCGCGTCATTTCCCCAGCAAGCGGCCAGTCTCTACCATGCTCTACGAAGAAATCAGAATTACTGTAGCGACAGTTCCACGCTAAGCCAGAAGTAGTGACTCGTATGTGTTAATATGGCAACTCGTTTTCCAAGAACAACAAGTTGTAACGGTGTGTGTCGCCTACACCTTGTTATTTTCCCGATCTTGAAGTGAAGGTACATACATATCAGAGAGAGGCTAAGTTTGGGATTTGCTCACAATAGTTACATACAAGTCCTCTAGTTTACGAGCTAGTCTTCACTCAGAGTACCTAGGTTAAAAAAGACCTAAGGTTTATGACGTACGGCATTTTAAATGTAGTGGCCATCGCAGCTAAAAGTTTCGTCACAGATTCAGGCCGGGAGACACCATGTAATAAGTATTGTTTTCCTGCACGTTGATCTGATCGATTCATCAAGAACGCATACAAAAGAAAACTCTTTCAAAGTAGATAAACTAGTCTATCCACAGACCCCCTATTTTGTCTTGATTTCGCGATCGCAGGCTCACATGGCTCGCACGCTCAAAGAAAAATAAGTCGTAACAAAAGAAAACATCTGTGAACAGACTATGGATAAGCTTTTCGTTCTATTTTTTTGTCAGTGTTTTAGTCGAGAGCTATTTGCAATGACAGACTGACAGAAATTTTGTCGTGACTACA